CACCTGTCATCAAAATAACAAATGCTGGTAGCACCTATACTTTAACTATTCTGCTTGCTTTGTTGCCTTGATCCTCTCCTGTCCCCTAGTCCTGGGAAAAGACCTGGATGGAAGGTAGGTGAAGTTTCACAGCACAGTTAGAAAGAGCTATTTTTGAGTATCCTTGAAAAAATGTAGGTGCCTAACAGAAAAGGTGTCTGGAAATTTAGGGCAAGTGGAGATCAGAAAGAGTGGTTAATGTGGGGGTTTGGAGAAGTCGAGCTTTTTCTCCTTGGTGGGTGTCACAGAGACACACACAATTGAATTTAGAGAGGTGCTAAATTTAACAAGATTAATTTTTTTATCAAATAACATTAGCAAACCACATGTTCAGGATGTAAGAGGGGTTAATTACTGCACAACTGACTTAATTCTTAAGCTTTAGAAATGATGACCAAAAATGCAGAAATCACTAAGCTAAAAGATGAGGGCGCTCAACCTCAAGGAGTTACCTTGGATGCTGTCCTGATCCAAGGGGAGAGTCCCCACCTGCAGACCCGCTGCTCCAAGGAGGCCTGGATCAATTTGCCCTCAGACAGGACTCCATTTATACCCTAGTCCAATCTGATCTGTGGTCATATATGGTCAGCAGTCTAGAAACTTCTCTCACCTGAGGTGTTTCAATGGCTGTGGGCTTTGTCTGTTGACTTCAGCTGAGGTGTGTAATGGTCATCACCAACCGAAGCATATGCGTGACCACAGTCACCATGTGGGCTGGGCAGCTTGACCCCAAACTGTGGCTTCTAGTTTTAACTCTTTCCTTTCAGCAGCTGAGAAGTTCTGGACTTTATCGAGGCAGGTGCACCTGCCACAAAATCCACCCTATTACCGCAGACACAATTCAACTGGTCTCATTGGAGCGGTGGCACAGTCACCTCTTGTCTCCAGCGTTAACAAGGGAGCACAGTCTCAGCGAGTTTTAAAGCTCGCTGTGAATCATCATTCCTCACTTATTTTCAGGCTATTAGAAATTACTAGCAACATCAATAATGCAGTATCAACTAACAGTATGACAGCAATCAACAGGAGAAACAGTCATATGGCAACAATCAACAATATAAAATAATCAAAAGCAGCAGCAAACAAGTAGGTAAATGCTATCCTAAGTTTGCACTGCGATATCTAATACACGAATGGATTTTAAGGGCATATACTCCATGGATGACACAGATTTCGTTACAGCGCTTAATACAGCTTATGATAATACAAATCACAATTATAACCGTTATTAAAGACTGGAGGAAGCTAACTAACCATCCCAAAAAGGAAAACTCAAATATATCAAAACTTTCCCCAACCAACTAATTCCTAGTGAAGCAACAATTGCCTCTAAGTCCTTTGCTGCTCTCTTCATTTTGTTGATCTGATCCTGAATTGTCAGTGATACATTTGGGTTGTTGACACAACACTCATCTGACAATATAGATTCAGGATTCCACATATGCCATTCTCCTTTAATAGTATTAGATCCAATACAGCTTGGTTTTGAATAGTCATTTTACTGACATGTTGTAATTGTTTGTTCATGAGTCTCATGAACAGAGTGCGCCTGCCGCAGTAAGTCCAGTCCTTAAAGCAAGCTGTTTCCTCACAGAAACATTGTTTTACCCAAGATGCATAGGCAAGGGAGAGCAGTAGACAAGCAGGATGAGCAGTGTCATGAACATATTGTATAGCAAGAGAAGCTCTTTAAAGGAACCTATTTGAGGTGAGTAAAGAAAATAACAGGAGATAATGTATGTTACTGTTTTAAATTCCACCTTCTTTCCTAGACTGAGTTTCGTATTTGCTCTGTTGATCCAAACTCTGGTGACGGACTGCCTATCCTACATTCAAAAGTTCCAGCAAAGACTTATTACAATATGGGGTTTATGATTTCTTTTTTAAAAGACATGTGAGTTTATGCTATTTAATGACTTAGTAGTCCTATTAATCATGGAATTTTCCTTCAAACATGGGATTTAAACATCTGCCTTTTTCACTCAGCATAAAAGATGAATGTTCTTATTATGAAAGAGATTTGGTTTTACTTTTCTTAAAATATCATAGGCTCATTTTGCAGTTACACAGAAGGTAGTTACCCAGTGATTCAAGACTCGTCTTTTAATGATGACATGCTTTATTATGTTTATTTCTGTTCAGTAAAGTTTCTAAGGCCTTAAAACAATAAAAAAAGATGGAATTTTCTTACAATTTAGACAGTATGCTGAGCTGGTTGCTATCCATAGTTATGTCACATTACTTCCTTGATTTTTTTTTTCCTCCCTATTAACTGTTTGGGCAAGCAGTACATCATGAAATAACACAGTAATTGTCCAGCATAAAATTTCCAAATTACAGTTGCTGAAGTTTACTCAAAAGGAACTAAAATTTTCCAAAAGAAAAAAGCAAACCTATGGAAAATATTGAAAAAAAAGCGGCAATAAACAATAGTTTGTCCGATTTTACACTGGAAAAGTCTATTTACATGATCCAAACTGTGTCACAGCAAACAGGCTCTTACTGTGTCCCATCCTGCTAGTTTCATAAAATATTTAAAGAGTTTTAATACTACATTTCAAATTACACTCTTGGAAGTTTCTCTTATATGTAGCTTACTACTTAATTTTTAAGCCAATGAGACTATTGATGAGTTTTAGATTGTTTTCCTTTTGGTTTTCACTTGTATCATTCTCATGTTCAGCTGCTGTTCACTGATACTACCATGGTACAAAAACGAAGCTGTTGGTTTGGGTTTGTTTTTTTAAAAAAATAATACATTGTTCTTATTATGCTATGTGTGATGTGATTTTCCCTGTGGACTATCCTGGTAGAAGTAATATGTCTATGGAAGTTGAATTAAAACAGATTAAATACCTGCAAAGATGTGCACTATAGATTTTTTTTTTCTTCCTCAAATCTCAAAAATAAACAATTATTTTGAAAAGAGAAGCTAAAAGTACCAAGGGAGGCAAGAAATAAGGGCACTACCAGAAATAATCAAAACAATCTGGTATTCCAGGTACTTAACCTCAACCTCTTCCCCTTTTTTACCCTCAGTAAAGTAGGGATTTATTTTAGCTGCCTCTACAAGCAGTGAAACAATACCAACTTCTCAGCTTACGGAAATTTCTGTATCAGGGTTCCAGCTGAGAACTTCAGTGGAATCAAATTCATTACATTATCATTTTGACATGTTAATATAAATGGGATCATATAAGAAACAACCCCATGTTACAGGGTTTTATTTGTAATGCTGTGCACAACTTAGAATTATCTGCTATGATATTTGATAACTCAGGAAATAAACCAACGTATTAATAGTACAGTTCTGTGTATCCTCATCAACTACACACGCAAGTATTTATATATCTGAAAACCTTCAGTAAATGAAAGAAAAAAAATATCCCTTGCAATGTGTATGTGTCCTTGTTCAGCAGTACACAAAACCAAAAGGAGATGTTTTCTAATGGTATATAACACTGTAAACAGTGTCTTCAGTGATAAGTTGAAGGACACTTTGGTTTAGGATTTTAGATTTTTTAGCTGAAGTATAGGATAACCACACAATGCTATTATTGCTCAAATAGTTCAGAGAAGCCTTGTGTCTACATTATTCTCAGAAGAACCTAGACTCCTATTTTCCCGTGCACGTGAAGAAAGCTTTCCATTGAAGAAGGCTATGCAAAATGTGCTTTTCACTGTCAGGCTGTTGATGCTCCTTCCTAACCAGCCAAGTGGAACCAGTAACTGATCTGTAGACAGACTCATGATGCCTCCCTCCCAACCCCTCCCCCCAAAAAAACCCAAACCCATATTCAGCAACATTTTCACTAATGCTTCAAGAGAAAAGGGGAATCAAGCATAGGTGGGCCGGGCACACAGTCTGTAGTATATAGACATATATGATTATCAGCCATCAAGGTTCATCTACTGGGATTTTGTCCACAGTAATACAGCAGATTTGTAAAAGGCCAAAAGATGTGTAGATCCTAATTCTCAGGTCTGCCTTCTAGTTCTGTTTAAGGATATTTTTTTTGTCTGTTCAATTTCTGTGTGGTTTCTTCTGTAGGTTTCAGCAGAATATATACATACGCACACATACAACTACATACCTATGTGTATTTTTGTAAATGTTCTCAATCATGCTTTTTTCTGCTTTGCATCATTTATTCATGTATCTTTCATGTTCTCATTTATTTTTTGTGCAACTAAACCTTATAATAAATTATTATTAAATATAACCTGACAGTGACAGAGTCTTCATGTTTTGTTTTCTCCTGGGCATGGGGGAAATGGTGGGGGGAAGGAGGGAGAGAGGAGAGCAGGGGCTATACTTACATTCCATCCCCAAATAGAAAGTGCTAAAATAACCACCGTGGTGAGTGGTAAGAATCCTGTAAAACCACACAGCTGTCAGATAGCAAGCTTCTGTTCATACTTTTAAATCTAGGTTCAAGGATCCCTGAAATATCTGCTTTTTTCAGTTGAATAGTACTCTTTGCCCAGCAGCAAATTAACACCTCCTGTGTGGAAAATCATGGAAATTTATTATTCTATAGAGTTCTCAATTTGAAATGCAAAACTCATGGATGTAGACAACATTGAGCACATTTTATTTCTCACCCTGTCATATAGACTTCTCAGACACAGATTTCTCAGACCCAATTAATTTTATGGAAACATATGCAGCTCCATTCCATATATCAGAGCTGTTCTAAAGTTCTTACTTAAGAGTATACCTACTGAGTAAAATGTTTAAATTGCAGAAGTACAAAGAATCTATATTCTACATATTAATCAAAGGATAAGTCAATGCTGCAGGCTGCAATACAGCACAGACACACCTGGTGTAACCTGGCCCAGGTTGGCTGTCCCGCCAAATCAGCTAGTTTGACCTTCCACATCTCACCAGTGGAAAGAAAATAAAAGTCTAAGCTGCAGATATAAGCTACAAACCTGTGCTTGGGTTACTTCATCCTTCAGGAAGAAACTAATGGTCTTTCCTTAGGTTTGTGTGAGACATTTTTCCAGTTGACATAAACCTCCTCTGCCCACCCAAGTGATGTTTCTTCTCCTCTTCTTTCTGTGTTCTGTGTGACATGAAAATTGCATCTTCCATAACTATTAGCAGGTTAGAAACACATTAAAAAACAAACAAATTAATGAAAAATTTGAAGGACTTTTCTCAAATCAGCTACAACTTTGAAAAAGAAAACCAGCAAATTTTCTTCATATGCTGATCTATTATTGTGAATATTCAGCCATCAATCAAAATATTTTTTGTGTTCTTATTTTCTATTAATATGTTTCAAGTTCAAGTCATGAAAAAAGAAGTTGCACCTTGAATAAATTTCTCAGCTGTCCCACATCAGGTGCCTGGTGGGATGGCCCCTTACCCTCGCATACACCTTTCAGATACTGAAGTAGTTTCTCCTATATCAATGTTAAAATATGATTTACTCTAAAGTTATTTACCATGCTAAGGATTAGTCATGTCATTAATTGGTTAACTGGCATGGGAGCAAAGGTGATTTCTGAAGCAAATGGATAGTCTCTAGCCTATGGTCACCCTAGGAAGATCTTCATTCTGGTACAAACAGTAATCCAACAGTCAGAATGAGAGAAATAGAAATGCAGGAGGTCAAAGGACTTTAAAAGGACATATCAAAAGTGGAGCTCACTATTGCATCATACAGAAGTGACATCTGGGAATAGATAGGTAGAAAGCCAGAGTCTTACACCCACTGTGAAATGGGGTCATTTCCCCAAGCACAGCATGACTTTATATCCCAACTTAGGGTATGAAGAGACAAGGCAGGAGCAGTGAATTTGGATCCCATCTTTCCACTTTTAAACTTCAGGCCTTGAAATGGATTATTAATGGGTGAAAAAAAGACTCAGAACTCCAAAATATTATTACAATACAAAAAGAAAGGAGAAGAACTGAAATAGCTGTTCCTATGAATTATAGTGAAGTTGAACTAGAAGAAATAGGTAAAGGCAAGGAGCACCACAGAATACAATTTTTTGCCTCAGTTTTACAAGTAGTGACTTGAGGAAAAAAGGTATTAATAATACACAAATAATACAAAAAGTAGCAAACCAAAAGAGCTAATTTGTTAATAACATGGCACACAGTTGAGTCTTTAATGCAGCCGTTAAACATTAAAGAATATTCGTCAAAAAACAACGAACAGCGAATATCATTCTTTAAAATATTAACATTTTCCTTTCTGTATAGTTTAAGGTTAGACTATAAGATTCAAGGTATATAAAAAGCAGATACAGAAGAGAAAGATGTCAAGAAATATACAATACAAAATATGAGTAAATTCCAGCTCTCCAGATGTCCTTACCAAGGTCTGAGTAGAGTATACAGCTTTTGATAAGTCCTCTGTGATCCTCTTCCTTTTCTTTCTGATGAAACACATTCAGTCAGAAACACAGCACAGGCAACTGCATCATGCATGGTAGTATAGTTCAAAATATCTAATTGCAGCATAGAAGAGATAATGCTGGTATTACTTACTTTCCCACTATCAATCAATATTATAAAAATCCAAGTCGTCTTTCCTCTGACTTGTAAACTGTAACATGCATGAGATTACAGTGTTTCATAAAAGCCTGGGCACAGATAAAAAGTCCCTTTGATTCAGGATCAAATACAATAATATCGTCAACAAGTTCCAGCAGCCTCATATATTGTGGTAGGGGAAGAAATGAAGTCTTTCTACTCACTATTGCTTTTCATTGGAAGCAGAGATTCTGGATGAGAGCAGTAGTGTATATCTGGCAAGGAACACAGCAGACTTAGATAATTGTTTAAACTGTTAGTTTGGATCCAGCTGTGAGCAAATTTGGAACATAAAATCTGAAGACAAAAAATGCTACAAGATGTAGAAAAACTCAGGATGTCACCTGTCTTTATGCACAAAATATGAAGAGCCTATGCCTAGTTTTATGTATTTCCTGACAAATCACCCTTGGCATGAGATTTCAGCTAATACCACTGTAAACATTTAGCTGACTAAGGAACTTGAGTAAGTAATTTGTTTTTCTAATGAAAAAAAAAAAAAACCCACACCACTTTTTTCATAGGCTGTAGAACTGATTAGTTTTTTCAAGTTTTCAAAATTTTGGCAAGAAAATTCAATTTTCACATCTAGCTTTTTTTAACGGGTTTTGAAGAGGATAGTAGGATGACCTGTTTACACCTTCATAATTACCTGCTTCAGTATATTAGGCAAATTGGTTTGTTACTCACTTTTTGTGATAAGCAGTGGTGATGCAGAAGATCAGTGGGAAAACTAATAGTAAGACAGCTGCAGAAATTCCTCCAGCTATGTAGACAATAAACCATCTGTGATCCCAAGTTGCTAAAATACAATTTTAATAAATATAATTAGTATTTTTATAAACCAGCATGAACTTTTTATGACAAACTACATCGAAAATCAAGGATTATGTCGAGACATTACTGAATGACAGCTCATGCTCAATATTCAAATCTCACAACCATTTCCTCATTTCTAAAACGCCTTTGTTATGCTGAATTAGCTCTTATGAAAGTTGTGACTGGGGTGGCCAAAGATGAGTGAATACAGCTGTTGTGGTTTAACCCCAGCCAGCAACTATGGACCACACAGCCACTCGCTCACTCCCCCCACCCAGTGGAATGGGAAAAAATAATGGGGGAAAAGAAGTAAGATGCGTGGATTGAGATAAAGATAGTTCAATAGCACAGAAAAGGAATGGAAAACAACAACAACAACAACAACAACAACAACAATAATAATAATAATAATAATAATAATAATAATAATAATAATAATAATAATAGAATTAAAATATCAAAACAAGTGATGCATGGTTTAATTGCTCACCACCCTCCAGCTGATGCCCAGCCACTTCCCAAGCAGTGGCCTCTGGACAGCTTTCCTCCTAGTTTGTATATTGAGCATGACATCACATGGTATGGAATATCCTTTTGGTCAGTTTAGGTCAGCTGTCCTGTCTGTGTCTTCTCCCAGCATTCTGTGCCCCCACAGCCTAGTGCAGTGATGTGAGAAGCTGAAAAGTCCTTGACTTAGTGTAAACTGCTCAACAACAACTAAAACACCAGTTTTAGTTGATCATTTAGCAAGGGATATCAACATTATTCTCATCCTAAATCCAAAGCACAGCATTGTACCAGATACTAGGAAGAAAATTAACTGTATCCCAGCTGAAACCAGGACAATATCCACTCCTTATTCTATACCACTGACATCATGCCCAGGTCCCACACTCTCCAGTACATCCTTTCCTGTCTTTTTGATATACACACAGAGCTATAATTCCCTTAGTCTATGGGCCAGCCCTCTAAAATATCTGCTGAGTTCATTTAGTCCATGACTTTGGGCTCTATCTGTCATAGTAGTCCTTCAGGGCAGGAGAGATGGTGTGTGGTGTTGGATTGCTGCATGCTGAAGCAAGCCAGTTTTGGTTCTATCATTACTTCACTTTGCCCAGTCTCATGAAGGTTCATTCTTCATTAATCTGGGTAATTTTTACTATAATACCATTGATATGGCATCTAACAACCATAGTAGTGATGACACACAGTATTATTATATAGAAGTTAACACTGTACAATTCAAATCATTGGCTATTCTCAGCCAGAATCAAGTCCCATTGCAGTACACATCAGAAATCCTCATCCTTCTGCATTACCCATCCAGCCCACCCAGGTCCATGAATGGGTTTGCCTTTGCCTGAAGCTGGAATGAGCCAGACTGTCTTCCCCAGCATAATTTTTATGTGCACTGCAGGGACTTTATCCCCTCTGTAAAAGGGGTCAAAGTTTCTTTATCCCCAAACGTAAAAGTTTGGATTGGGCAGGGTCAGCTTGATTGGCAGATTCCCTAGTGTTGGCTAACCAGGTGGCTTTTGCTAAATATGTATCCCAATGTTTAAATGTCCCAGCACTCATTGCTCTCCGTGTAGTCTTTAACAGTCCATTGTACTGTCAGATTTTTCTGGAGGCTGGTGCATGATAGGCCATACTCCATCCCATGCTCCTTGGCGCTGGTGTCTATGAGATTGTTTTGGAAATTATTTCCGTTGCCTGATTCAGTTCTTTCTGAGGTGTCACATTGTCATAAGACTTGTTTTTCAAGGCCCAAGGTAGTATTCTGGGTGGTAGCATTAGGCAAGGGATATGTTTCCAACCACCCAGTGGCTGCTTCCACCATTGTAAGCACATGGCACTTGCTTTGGTAGATTTGTGGAAGTGTGGTACAATCAATCTGTGAGGCCTCCCTGTGCGGGAGAAGAGCACTTTCAGTATACCACATTCCTGTATCTGTATTTCAGGCAAAGCTGCTTTAACTGCTTGGATTGATTGACTGCAGCACAAGTTTCACATTCATGTGCAATAGTGTCTATGGTTAAGTCTACCCCTCAATCACAAGCCCATCTATATGTTGCATTTCTTTCTTGAAGGCCTGATGTATCGTGGGCCCATTAGGCTATAAATAATTCACCCTTATGTCAACAGTCCAGATCTACCTGAACCACTTCAGTCTTAGCAGCCTGATCTACCTGTTAGTTGGTTTGATGCTCTTTGGTGGCCCAACTCTTGGCGTACTTTAAGAACTAGGTTCTTTACCCAGGCAGCAATATCTTGCCATAATTCAGTATCCCAGATGAGTTTGCCTCTGTGCTGACAGTTGATCTGCTTCTATTGCTATAGCCACCCCAATAGAGTATTTGCCAACATCGATAGGTCAGTATAAAGTACTAGCCATTTTCCTTGTTCAGCAATATCTAAGGCCAGCTGGGTAGCTTTCACTTCTGCAAACTGACTTCATTCACCTTGTCCTTCATCAGTTTCTGCAACTTGTTATGTGGGACACTAGCCTTCCACTTTTGATTTTTTCCTACAATACAACAGGACCCATGAGTGAATAGAACATATTGCTTTTCATTTCCTGGTAGTTCATTATACAGCAGGGTCTCTTCAGCACACATCACCTCCCCCTCTGGCGATATTCAGAAATCTTTGTCTTCTCGCCAGTCTGTGATCGCTTCCAGAATTCCTGGTAAACTGGGGTTTCCTATTCAAGCCCAGTGTGTGATCAATGCAACCAACTTATCCCATGTAGCATCAGTTGCATGACGTGTAAGAGGAGACCCTCCATTTGATCAACCAGCATTCAGGGTGACAGGAGGAGCTGTGCTGCGGTACCAACCACTTCCAAAGCAGTTTGAATCCCTTCATATGCTGCCAATATGTCTTTTTCGGTGGAGTATAACAGGCCTTGGATCTTCTATATCCCCAACTCCAAAACTCCAAGGGTTGACTTTGAGTCCCCTGATGCTTTCTACCACAGGCTCCAGGTAGGGCCACTCTCCCTGGCTGCAGTGTAGAGCACATTTTTTAAATCTTGTCCTGCCCGAACTGGCCCAAAGGCTACTGCACGGACTATCTCCCATTTAATTTGTTCAAAGGTTTATCTTTGTTCAGGGCCTCATTTGAAACTGTTTTTCTTCTGGGTCACTTGATAGAGAGGGCTTACAATCAGACTGTAATTTGGAATATGCATTCTCCAGAAGCATACAATGCCTAAGAAAGCTTGCTAATTTGTGGAGACATAGCTGTTATGTTATTGATCACATCTACTGGGATCTGACAATGTCCATCCTGCCATTTTATTCCTAAAAACTGGATGTAATGTGCAGGTCCCTTCACCTTACGTCTTTTTATGGTAAAACCAATTTTCAGAAGGATTTTGTACTATTTTTTCCCTTTTCTCAAAAACTTCTTCTGCTGTGCTGCTCCATGCGATGGTGTCATCAATGTATTGTAGGTGTTCCAGAGCTTCACCCTGTTCCAGCATAGTCTGGATCAGCCCATGGAAAATGTAGGGGGGCTCTGTTTCCACCCCTGGGGCAGTCTGTTCCAGTTGTACTGAACTCCCCTCCAAAACAAACCATGGCCTGCACTCTTCTGCCAAAGGGATTGAGAAAAACGCATTAGTGATATCAGTTGTGGCTACCACTTGGCTGCCCTTGACTCCAGTTAGTATTGAAGTTCTAACATGTCCATCGCAGTAGCCCTCAGTGGTGATGTGACTTCATTCAGGCCATGATAGTCTACTGTTAGTCTCCACTCTCCATTAGACTTTCGGGCTGGCCATATGGGACTGTTAAAGGGGCTGTGAGTCTTGCTGATCAATCCTTGGCTCTCCAGTCAACAAGTCAATTTATGGATGGGAATCAAGGAGTTTCAGTTTGTGCAGTGTTGCTGCCACCACTGTGGTAACAATCGGCACCTGTTGTTTTTTGAACCTCAGCAACCCCACAACAAAAGGGTCCTGTGAGAGACAGGACAAGGTCAATGTTTAATTTCTTCCATCTCCAAGGCAGCTATACCAATGACCCACTGATACCTTTTTGGGTCCGTGAAATACCCTCTCTTGAGGTACTATGCCAAGGATGCACAAAGCCTCTGGGCCAGCCACAATGGGGTGCTTTTGCCCCTTATTCCCAGTCAGGCTCACTTCTGCCTCCAGTACGGTTATCCCTCTGTCACTCCAGAAATACAGATGGGTTTGTCCCCTTTATAGCTTGATGGCATTAGGGTACACTGTGCACCAGTGTCCACCAGAGCCTTATACTCCTGTGGGTCTAATGTGTCAGGCCACTGAATCCACACAATCCCAGTTGTCGCTTTCCTCCACTCGGCTGGTGGCAGGACACCTCTAATCCAGGTTACAGTACTCACTACTCACTTCTTGTAAATAGAAATCAAATGTCCCTTCATCAAGATCAGGAGAAAGATCAGCCCTTCTACTCTGTCTGGAGAACAGCCCACTGGAGACTAGAGCAACATTTTTCCCAGAAGACCCCCCTTTTGTGATTGTTTTTGTTGTGGTTTAAACCCAGAGGACAACCGAGCATCACATGGCCCCTCACTTACTCCTCCTCCCAAGTGGGATGGGAAGGAGAAAATATAACAAAGACTTGGGAATTGAAACAAGGACAGGGAGGGATGACTCACCAATTATGGCCATCAGCAAAAAACAGACTCTATTTTTGAAAAAAGAACATCAATTTAATTTGAACACTACCCCAGCAACACTAGTTTACCAATCAAATCAGAGTAGGATAGTGAGAAAAGCAACCACATCTTAAAAACACCTTCCCCACTCCCTTCTTCCCAGGCTCAGCATTGCTCCCAGTTTCTCTGCCTCCTCCCCTCCAGTGGTGCAGGGGAGCAGGGAATGGAGACTGTGGTCAGTTCATCACCTGTTGTTCCTGCTGCTCCTTCCTCAGGGGGAGGACTCCTCACACTCTACCCCTGCTCCACATGTGGTACCTCCTACAGGTGACA